GTGCGGTGCGGTGCGGTGCGGTGCGGTGCGGTAGCAGCAGCAGCAGCAGCAGCAGCAGCAGCAGCAGCAGCAGCAGCCATGCGGGAGATCGTGCACATCCAGGCTGGCCAGTGCGGCAACCAGATCGGCGCCAAGGTGAGCGGCCCCGGCCCAGCGGCTTCTCCCTGCGGTGCATCCCGGCTCCGGCGGCCTCTGCGTCCCGGGGGGTCTGCGCTCCTCGCCACGCCCCCTCCCCAAACCGGGCGGGGTACAGCTGCTCTTCCTCTGCCCCCTGGCTGCGTCCTCGCTGCCATCGCCTCCGGGGAAATAACCCCCTGTGGGGAAATACTGCCCCCCAGCTGCCCCGCAGGGCTGATCTCAGAGAGGTGAAGCCACTGCTAGGAGCTGGGCATGGCCATGGTGGGGGTGTGGCAGCCCCCTCCACCCCGGCTAACTGCCCTCCCTGCTCCCCCCTTGTGTTCCAGTTCTGGGAGGTGATCAGTGACGAGCACGGCATTGACCCCACCGGTAGCTACCATGGGGACAGTGACCTGCAGCTAGAGAGGATCAATGTGTACTACAATGAAGCCACAGGTAACTATTGCCAATTGCTGCCTCTTTTATTTTTTTCGGCATCCTCAGATAGGAAGGGTATGGCCAGGCTCATTCCAGCTGGGGAGGCCACTAGTGAAAAGCTCCCTCCAGGAGCTGTTAAACCCTTGGCAGAGTCTCTGTGCCTGCTTTGTATTCAGGTCCATGCTTCATTTGAGGCTGTTCATTCAGTGCACTGGTCCTTTGCTTGTCTGCACAGCACTAGTCGCGTGCTCTCTCTCTGTCTCTCTCTCTCTCACCAGTGAATTGGCTTGGGAGCACAGCAGCTCTCTTGTTAAATAGCTGCTGACTCTGGGTCTAAACACCAGCTTTTGTTCTTCCCACAGGTAACAAGTTCGTGCCCCGCGCAATCCTTGTTGACTTGGAGCCTGGCACAATGGACTCGGTCAGATCTGGACCTTTTGGGCAGATCTTCAGACCTGACAACTTTGTCTTTGGTATGTAACTGCCCCTTTTCTAGTGTTGAAATAGCCTCAGATGTGCTGTGTGCGCAAAACTCCTAAGATAATAAGACAGAGGCTTGTGGGCTACAAGCCTTGCTTATTTAGCATGGGGGCTGGGGGGGGAGATGAGGCTGTAATCCCATAGATAGACACTAGGACAAACTATAATAATATGCCATGCCAAATGGAGCAGGAGAAATTTTAATTTCTTTGCTGTAGCCTGAGTTAAAATAGCATCTTTCCACTGTGCCTTCTAGGTCAGAGTGGTG